GTATGCACAGGGCTGTCATGGCAGAGGTTGGCACTGTAGGGACCCCCCACCTGTGTGGGGCACCCGCTGTGGCTCAGAGCCTGCAGGGTCCCACGGGTGGCTATGCCCAGGGATGGTGCCAGGCACTGGGCCAGCACAGGGAGACAGGGGAGGAGGGGGCGAGCACACTGCCTGCACGGGCAGTGGGATCTCACAGCACAAGACACAAGCACTTAGAGCACACGTGTGCGTGTGTGCGTGTCCCTCACAGACACGGTACAGGCACGCATGCGGCACATGTGGGCACGCACATATACACGCTACCCTAGGGCTGTGCAGGCGGCGAGCTGGTATGCCCCCACCCCCTCATGCAGCACTGTAACCCCCACCACCACCCTGCAGCCCCACAGGGAGGCTGTGGGTGCCCACCTGGGTGGCCAGGCACTGCCAGCAAAGCTGGGCACAGCCATAAGCAGCGTGGGCACAGCCTGGTGTTGCTGCCTGCCCCACAGTGGGGCAGGAGGCTGGGGAGCACTTAAGCCTGGCCGAGGGGTGACAGGGCAGGGCTGGGGGGGGTCCAGCTCTCCCCAGCAGCCCCAGCACAGGTGGGAGGGGGGGCCTTCCATGGTGCTAAGGGGGAGCAAGATGGACCAGCCCCCCCAGCTGCTACTAGCAAGAGGTACCAGCGGAGACACAGAGGGCTGCACCAGCCCGCTCGCTCCGAGCCATCTGGGGACACTCGGTCCCCAACCAGTATTAGTGGAGCAGGATGCACTGGCAAGGCCAGGCAGTCTTCAATCTGTCTTCCAGCTCCAGCCTGGAAGGGCTGGAGCTTTTGATTCGGGGTGGATGGGGTGGGACCCTTCCCATCCCGCTGCTCCCCTCCCAGCCAGTGCCCTGTGCTCCCCGTGCCGCAGCCCCAAGGTTGGCACAGGGACATGTTGTGGCTTGGCACGGCGGCGGGAGGCAGCAGGCGGTGGGCGCTGAGCCCCGGCAGGACGTTCCAGCTCCCCCGTCCCAAGCCCCCCGCCGTACCCTGGCGAGGGGCACAGGTTCCCGCATGGTGCCCGTGCCCTGCCCCACGTGTCACGCCGTTACTCTTCACCTCTAATTGTTAGCAATAACGCGCGCGTCCCTGGGCAGCGCTGCCTGTGCCAGTGTCTCTCCCGGTGTAGAGTTCTAAAGTATCCTAGATTTTAATGAGATTTATATTCCTGAGGCCGTGTCCCGGTGTGCCCTTCTTTGGGGACCCTGGGGAGGGATTGGGGTTGGAGAGTGGGAGACCATGTCCCATGGGTGCAGCCCTTTCCCACTTGGTTTCCCCAGACTGGCACTGAGCAGCCAGGCTGGGCACTGGGGAACGCTCCTTTGCCCCATTCATAACTACAAATCCTGCTGCAGCTATGGCAAAGGATGGGACTTGTCCCTCCTGGGGGAGAGCACTGTCCCCAAGGGAAGTAGAGGCAGCAAGTGTCCCATGGCACAGCGAGGGCAGCCCTGAGCACCTTGTGGGGCAGAAGCCCCCCCACTGTTGCCCCCAGACTGGGAAGCTGGGTGGGGGACTCTGCTCCCAGCCCCCAGCTAGAGGTGGCTGGCAGGGCTGTCCCCTACCCCATCCCACTGGATGCTGAAACTGTCCCATCTCATGGTGACAGTCCCCCCCCGCCCTCCCCCTGACTCTGGAAACCCCACAAACTTTTGAAACTTTTATTAAATACAAAAACCCCGGTCTCTGCGACCGAACGCTGCATTCAACGTACGCTCAAAAAAAGGGTCAAACATTCAAATGTACAAAAGTTGCCGGTGCCCCCCCCCAAAAGCCCCGGCGTGCTGCCCCGCTCCTGGCCCCACTGCTCCCGGCCCCCTGCGGGGTGTGGGGGGTGCTGGGGCTCCTAATCCCATGGAGGGGCACGGGGCACCCGCCCTGCACGGCCCCGGCCTCTCCTGCCTGCTGCCCCCCTGCCCCAGGCCTGGAGGGGGGAAGCCAGAGAACGGGGAGACCCCAGTGGCCCCCAAACCACCTGTGGGGCACCTGCTGCTGGAGGGAGCTTTGGGGCAGCTCCCCCTTCTGCACTACTCCCCCCCAAGAAGGGCTGGGGGGGTTCAAATGAGCCCCCCCAACCCCCCAAAAGCAGGGAGGGCAGGTGAGAGCAGGTACAGGCAGGGGCTGAACACGCACACAGCATCTGCCTTTGGGGAGGGGGGACGAGATACGGCCGCCCCCCCTGCCCCCAGGCCTGGGGAAACTGAGGCACAGCAAGGGGCTTTTGCTAACCAGAGGTCTCTGTTTGGCAGAGCTGAGACGGGGCCCGGCTCTAAGCACCAGACTAAAGCAGAGGAAGACAGTGAGCCACATCGTCGTGCCCAGCAGCACCCAGCTGGGGCGGCAACGTGGCCCTGATCCTGCCTGCTTGGGGGGGCCCGGGCTGCTCCCACCCCCAGCTGGGGCAGCAGCAGCTCCAGTGCTGGCAAAGGGGGAAGCCTGCACCCCGCTTCTCGCAGCACTGGTGGGGACACCCCCCAGGTCTCCCCGAGCAGCAGAATCTCACCCTCCCCGCCCAGGGTGCAGGCAGGAGCTGGCATGGGCAGGGGGCTCCTCACCAGGGCTGGGGCAGCCCCCTCCCTCTGTGCCGGGAGCCGCACACGGGGTGGCTGGGCTCATCCGCCGACACACCGAGTATGGGGCGGGGGTCCTGCAAACACACTCGTGGGGACGGGGAGAACAGAGAAATCCTGGGGACTGAGGGGTGGGCTGGGGGGGCAGCCATCTCTGGAAGGCAGCAGAGTAGGCAGAAAACATCCCTGTCCAGTCCTGGCTCTTGAGCCGGGGCAAAACCCACAGTGCCCAGCCAGCCTGGACACAGAGCTGGCTCCCAGCGGCTCTGCCGGGGGCGTGAGTGCTAGCCCCGGGCCAGGCGGGGGGGCGGCCGGCCGATCTCCACCGTGATGTTGGTGTACATGGGCTGGCGGGAGATCTCCACCAGCCGGTACTGCAGCGAGCTGATCCCATCCCGCTTCATCGTCATTTTGGTGTTCTGGATCTTGGTGAATCTGGTGGAAATGGGAGTGGGATGAGGTGGGAGGGGGCCAGGAGAGCAGAGCAGGGGACCCAGGGGCCGCAGGTGGTCCAGCAATCACCTAGCATCCTGGCTGCCCTGTACCCTGTGACTCACTTACCTCTGCGGGTTGGGCTCGTTGTGTTTGTCACGTTCGTGCTTGATCATGCGGTACCTCCCGATGCGGATGTCGGGCCTCGACACCTTCATGCCATTCAGGGAGATGCTGGGGGCCGGGAGCAGGGAAGGATCAGCGTACGGGCACCAGGCTGGGACACTCCCCAGCCCAGAAACCTCTGAGGTCAGCTCCCAGCCCAAATAAACCTATCCCTGCTTAACCAGGGCTGTGCCAAGCCAAGCTGACCAAAGCCAGACCATGGCCACGCCAGCGTCATGACCCAGGGCGCAATGTGCCTCGTGGCAGAGCGTGCCCAAAGCACAGCTCTTGCCTGGTGACCTCTGTCTCTGCAGGCCAGCACCTGTGGTCAGCCTGTGCTGTTTACATTCTCCAAATGCCAGTGTCCAGCCCTTCCCTCGGGGCCCCCCCAACACGTTAAGGGCTGCCTGAAGCTCTCCCACAGCTCCACACGCTGCTTGTTCCCCACCCTAAGCCCACCTCGGATGGAAACCACAATTGCACCACTGTGCCCGTGGCAACCGCAAAGGGGTGTTTTGCTGGCCCAGCCGTTACAGGCTGGTTGTCCACCACTGCCCCAGGCAGCGCCATAGGGAAACCCTCAGGAGATGAGGAAGGAGCCATCCGGCTCCAGTCCCAAACGTGGGGTGCGTGCAGGGGGATTCGGCTCGGGTTGTGCGTGCGGCTGTGCTGCGGCCTGCCGGCTGCTGGCAGAAATGCCTGCTCGGCTGCTGCGCGGCCACCACTGAGACGCTTCCAAGCTTTGCATCCCAGCCCTGGATGCTTCCAAGTTTAGCAGCCCAGCCCCAGCCTGGAGCGGAGCCCGCAGTCATAACGCCCCGCTGGCACAGCTCACACCAGAGCGGGAAGGGGGCAGGCCCCATCATGTTCAGCCACAAGGAAGGCATGTGGGTGCCCCACAGCCCCCCAACACCCTGGGAGGGGACAGTTTGATCGATGAGGGTCACCAATCCTCAAGTTGCAGGGAAACCGAATTCCTCCCCACCATGTGACATGCCCCCCCACAAAACCAGGAGTCCCGGCACTGGTGAGGGTGCCAGGCTGGTGCTCCGCAGGGAGACCCCAGCACACCCCAACTAGCCAGTACCAGCAACGGGTTAGCACTTACCGGTTAAAGATGTCATCGTCCTCTCCTCCCCAGCCCCAGTACTCATTGGGAAAGCCATTGATCTTCAGGAACTGGGACTTGCTTAGCCCAGAGACACCACCAAAATAGCCAGCATAGGGCAGCCTGCAGGGTGACAACAAACATGTCAGCCCCCAGGGACAAACAGGGATGGGGGTCAGCCCCATGGAGACCCCCAAGTGACAAGCACCAGCCCTTCCCTGCATCACCCTCCCACCAGGGCTCTGAAACCTCTCCCATCCAACATCCACAATTCAAGCCAGCACACCTGCCCCAGGTGACCACTGAGGTTGGTGGCCCGGGCATCATCCCAGCCCTGCCCAGGGAAACACCCCAGCCCTGCACCCACCTGAACCCAAACTTGTCCATGCCAACAGCAAAGTGCCGCGGCTGCTCATAGCAGCGATAGAGGTTGCGGTCGTCCATAGGGATGAGGTCCACGTCGCTGAAGATGAAGCAGTCGTACTCCTCATCATCCTTCAGGGCCTCCAGGAACCCCACATTGAGCAGCTTGGCCCGGTTGAAGGTGTCGTCGCCAAACTGTGGGGCAGAACTCAGTGATGCCCGCCTGCCCACCCTGGCCCTGCCAACCCCTCGTCCCTGCCCCCCTCACCTGGTTGATGATGTAGATGCCGTAAGCCACCTTCTGCCGGCGCAGGATGGGGTGCAGGTAGTGCAGCCAGTACTTGAGGTGGTGTTCACGGTGCCGGAAGGGTATGAGGATGGCCACCTTCTGCCGGGGCAGGCAGTCTGGGGGGGTGTACTTGCCACCCTGGCGCACATCGGGGTTCTCCCGCTGCACCCGCTCCATGCTCATGGGAGAGCTGAACTCGATGAGCAGGCGCCCAACTGCAAGAGGGAGGGCAGGGTGATGCCCGCAGGACAGGACAGTCCGGGTCATGGTCACCCGCTACTCCCAGCCAAGCCGGTGAGCAAACAGCGAGGGGGACCTGCAAGGGGGACTGGCACTGCCGAGGGCAAAGAACACCCAAAATCCCAAACAGAGGCAGAGAGACTGGGCCAGCTGCTAACAAAACCTGAAGAAACCAGCTGTCCTGGTACCAGTTCCAGGCTTCAGTTTCTCCACTGCTCCACCCCTGAGACCAGAAGCCATACTCAGGGCCCAGGGGACAGGGTTGCCACCCACAGGTGCCCACTCCAGCCCCACGCTCAGAGCCAGAGCCCAAAACCCCTCCACGCTCACCCTGCATATCTCACCTAAGCCAGGAGGTGTCTCTTGGCAGGGCTGCAAGGGCTTCTCAGTGGTGGACTGGTTGGTGCTGGGCTTGGCACTAGGGGACGGGGCCTCAGCGCCGGGTGGCCCGTAGCTGGGGACAGTGCCATTGGGGCGGGAGGAGTTGGAGAAAGGGTGGGCGCGCGAGGCATTCCTGGCATTGAAGCGGCTGAAGAAGTCCAGGTGCTGCGCGTAGACATCGAAGTAGAGGATCATGATGATGACGAAGTGGAGCAGGCAGAGCAGCAGCACGGCCTTGCAAATCCTTTCCAGGGTCACCCCCAACAGCAGCCTGGTCATCTTCTGGGCACGGGCAGGCGGACATGTGCGCTCAGCGGGGCAGGGGGGCGGCTCCAGCCACGGTCCTGATCCTGCTGAGACACCCCCACACTAAGGACACCACCAGCATGAACCCCCAACCCCAGCCCCAACGACACCAGGGCAGCAGGAGCGGTGCAGGCCCAAGGAGGAGGCGATGGGCTCGTGGGTCAGTATGCCAGAGAGCACCCTGTGGGGAGGCTGCCCTCAAGACCCCTGCTCTGGACACACAGCCATGAAGACACGAGAGGTCCTCAACCCCATACAGCAAGTCTTCTCCTCATGTTCCAAGGCCAAGACCAGGCCAGACTCCGTCGCAAAGCCCATCACCCCCCCAGCAGGGGACAGGAATACCCCGACGGGTGCCACAAAGAGCCTCTGTGGAGGCCGGGCCCATGGAGAAGGTCATGCTCTCCAAAACGCAGCCAGCCTGGGGTGTCCCAAGGGCATTGCGGGTGTCCCCACCAGCCACCCCTTTCTGAGGCACCCCATTTCCCTGCTCCCCATTCCAACCCCCCCGGCAGCCCTGCACCCCGGCAGCGGCACCAAAGCATACGCCATGCTGGCAGGGGCCTCCTCGGGGCGCCCAGCGGGGCCAGCAGCTGCGCGGCAGACACCAAGCCGAGCGAGATGTCCCGGTCCTTGTGGCAGGGTTCCCTGCCACGTCCAGGGGAGTCCAGCTTACAGCCAGCGGCGCAGGTCCTCTCTCCTCCTGCTGCCAGTGGGGAGGCCCCCCGGGACGCCGGGAAGTGCTGGAAGCCAGGATCCCCTTATCTCCCACATGACACCTGGAGCTGGGCCAGAGTCCTGCCGGGAAGGCAGCCGGGAGGGCCACCAGAGAGCTCCCGACCAGACAAACCCTCTGGGCTCTTCCCAGCCCCCTCACCACTGGGGCTCTGGCCACGGCGTGGTGGCACACCCCAGTTCCCATTCTGCTCCCCGTCCCAGTCCCTGCTCCCAGGGAAGCTGCTAGGACAGGCCGTGGCAACCACAAGGGACAGGCATGGGGGTTGCCAAGGCCCTAGGGACCCTGGGACAGGCTAGTGCCGCTGTAGGGACCCCAAGGGGATCCTGGCAGCCAGGAAGCTGAGGTGGGACCCCCCGGCAGGAGTGCAGCTAGGACCCGAGGGTGCTGGCAACCATCCCAGGGCCTGGGCCAGCCCACCGGCAGCTGCCAGCCCTGGCCAGTGGGGCCCCCCCGGGGAGCCGCAGGGCACTGAGCCGGCCGTGACGGCAGCTCTGGCTGGGAGCAGGGATTGGAGCCGAGGTGTAAAGGAGGACCCCTTGCCCAACCCCACTCCAGCTGCCCCCTCCCAGCCACAGGGCTGACCCCGGCAGGCAGCAGGGTGCGGGCAGGAGCCCACCGCAGGCTGGAAAAGGCTGTGAGCCCCATGGCCCCACCTGTGTCCACCTTCTCCGGAGGACGCAGCACTGGGGTCCCTGTGGGCAGGGGGTCTCCTGGCACGCCCCAGCACCTTAGCCCCTCATCCAGGTTTTTTCTAGAAAGCTGCCCTCTGGAGAAAAGCCGGGTTTGCTGTTATCTCCCGAACCTTTTCACGGTCATGGTGCCCCGTCACCGAGCTCAGCCCTTGACGAAGGGACCTGCCTGCCCCAAACGCCTGCCAGAAACCCTCCCCAGAAACCACAGCCCTCACAGCAGGCAGCACATGGAGCGCTGGCATCTCGACAGCCGGGTGGGGAGGTGCTAGGGAAATATGGGAAGAGGTTTTAGGGACCCTTGCGCGGGGTGGTCCACGAGGTGAGCAGAGCACGATTCTCGATGGGAACAAAAGCAAAGCACTCCATGAAACAACGGCCACGGGATGCCACGAGCATGAGTGGGCTTAAAAATACCCGCTTAAGCGGGGGGGGGCTATGAAATATGATGTTATCCCCCCACTAAAGCACAGTATCTTCACAGGGTGCAAGAGGCCGAAAGCAACCTGGGGTTGGGGAGCTGCTCCCCAGGGATTCACCCTGGTGTGGTGCATGCCATGGGGCTGGTGGTGCTCGTTTGGGAGGGGATGCTCATCTCCTCGGGCTCCATCCTTCTTCCCACAGGATACCGGAGGTGCCAGGGACAACCCGTGGCCATCGGCTCTCCCCCAGCCTACCTTCCCCCAGCCAAAAGCAGGGTAAAAGGGGCACGTTCATCGCAACCAACCCCCTCCCAATTCTTCCCAGCCCCCAACACACACACACAAACTTATTAAAAACAACCTCAAAAAAAGAGGTTTTTTTTTCCCGAGCCGGGGCGGCGTCATCCATAAGTGACCGGGATCGCATCCCCCGAGTCGCATCCCGGGGCCACCCCGGGCCTCTCCCATCCGGCCAGGCCTCTCCGCGCCGTTATACTCACCGCGGCCTCGGGGCTGCCGCGCCGCCCCGCCGCCGGTCAGCGGCCCCCGCCGCCGCCGCCTCCTCCTCCTCCTCAGCCCGCCCTCCTTCCCTCCCTCCCCCGCCTCGTCCTCCGGCGGCTCCGGGCGGCAGGGGCGGCCCCCCCCCCCACT